TGAACTTTTATTTTTAAGAGTATGGGTAAATGATCTATCACAAAACCATACTAATTGAAAGAAAATAAAACATTATTTTCACATTGTCATCAGCTGACCCAGAGGAAATCTGCAGATGTTTTTCCATTTTCTGTGCTGATTTTGGGGGAAAATTCTGCTGACTGGATTTAAGTCTGGGAGCAGATTCCACATGGCCCTAATCACAAGTTCTTAATAACTAACATGTCCAACTACAATGTCCAAAACTCTCCATTTTTAATGCTGTCTATGATACACATTTGTGAAATATTTCTTTGAAGTATCATGAATTATCAAGCACTTACTCATATTCTTAATCTCACATGTATTGCTTTGTATTCTCTTTCATATTTTGTTGTCAAACACAATGTTTTTTAGTTTTTTCATTAGAATCATTAGAATTTGAGCTAACGTGAGATATATCAAATTCTTATGAATGATAAGAGGCTCAGAGGAAAGCAATGACTAAATGGAGTGGAGGAAGAGCAGGGTGTACTTGATGGGCAGACCAAGTTCTGGTCCTCGGGGTGAAACGGAGAGAACTAGGCGAAAGAGAGAGAACTCTAACAGAGCCCCTTTATGAGTGTCTGACTCTACACTCAAGTTCGAAATTCCACTAAGGTTTGTGGACAGCATGGCAATGAGTTACGATCTCTCTCTATCTCTCTTTCATACACACACATCCACGTAACTCTCAGTGAAGGCTATTTTGGGGCATATCTGCACTCTAGAAACCACTGCATTTTTAGACATAAATCAGTTCCCTGTGGGTTTCTGACAGCCAATGAACACATGCCATCACGCCACATCATGAATAGAGATTATATAGTGGTGATATCGATTAGAGTCGCAAACTAGTTCAGTCTGTATCTATGAAAGAAAAATCATCTCACAGTAAAGCTTCAGTGTACCAGTGCCTGACAGCTTCATCTGGGAAATACTGAAAGAGGGACTATACTGCACACAGAGCTTGGCTTTTACGCACTCTCAACAGTGTTTGCGGTGCGTAGACCCCGTGTGAGTATGTGTGTATGAGAACTATCCCAATGTTGTTTTTGGCTCTACCCGACAGCGTTCCACATACTCATTGATTTTACAATTACTTCTTCTCTAGTGGTTCTGCCAATATTGCCAAATTTATGACTTATTTACTTGCAATACGTCAAAATGCATAAATATATAAGTACTGTAGCTTAATTAGACACATATTACAGACATATCTACTAAATCTCATCTGTTTGGCGATTAACTGAAGATTTATCTGATGATTTGAAACTGGAAGTTTCTATAATATGGCCCTTGATCTGAACAGTTTGCTAATGACCAGACATCAAGAGTCTGTAACAGTAATTACAACTATCCTATCACATTTTCTGCAAATACTCCTATTTTATTGGTGAAGCTTAAAAAAGATCGACTACTCTCTTAAAAATCAAGCACAAACATCATCACACACAAAACGAACCCCACAAACCATGGAATAGTAAACTGGCCAATAAAGAACACACATAAATTGCCATCACTACCACATAGATCACCTGTTAACCCACTTAAAAATGTTGTTAAATCACCTGAGTTTCAACATTACTGTATTGTAAGAAGATTCATGAAGATGATGGAGGATAGAGGTATTATATCAAGCCAGAAATCTACAAAAGAAAAAGAAAAAAATAATGAAAGCCTAAGTAAAGGTGTATATGAACTACGTGAACTATTTTAACTTTGCAAATGTGCATTATTATTACAAGAACTAGAAGGAGATTCATTAAGACCATGGTGTGCACCTTATATTACAAAGTCAGTCATATACAACACAAAAATGTAAAAAAAAAAAAAAAAAAAATGAAAGCCTCAGTACAGTCAGTGAAGTCCATTTTAGCTTTTTTAGCTTAGCCTCAGTGGCCAAGTACAACTGAGGCTAAGAAGCAGAAGGGACCCCAAGAAGCCCTTAGGTCCGGTCCCTGCTCTAAAGCACAGCACCAGCATTTAGAAGAACACACAGTAGAACCCTTACCTCTTTCTCTTCCTTTCCCAAATGGTCCTGTTCTTCAGATCGGACAGGCAGAGGGCTGGTGGGCCTGGCCAATGGCAATGGGTCACTCACGGTGTGTGTGTTTCTGTGTGTGGATGCTTCTGGGTGTGTGTGACGTGTACGTGTACACACACTCCCAGACCTGTGTGCCCTACCTGGCCGTATATGTGAAGGCAAGAAGTGAGACTGAGAAAAGGGAAAAATCGAGTTTTGGTCACATCTACAGCAGCGCCCACCCCATACCACACTGCATCGCACACACACACACACACACACACACACAGAACGGACACACAATTTGCACGCTGACAGACCCCCAACTGCAAAATCCTTTAATCCCTTACAACCATCTTTCTTTTTTGTTTCCTGAAGAGACACATAAGTTATTCAGTCCTAAGTATGAGATATTTGTCTTCCTTTTCCTGAGGTGAACGTGAGGCATACTCTGCTTTCATGTAGGGATCTGCAGGGCCCGGCATACAATGGGCCCTCTGTGAGGCTCCTCTGTTGTGCAATGCTGAGAGGTAGAAAAGGCCTCCATTCTGCTCTGCACCACGACTTGGTGCTAAAACCCTGCTCAGTAACTCTGTGCAGAGATACACTGCAGAAAACCTTCTAACCTATCAGGAAGGGCCGTACAAGTGCCTGCTTAATGTTCGGTGGGATGTTTTTACAGGCCTCAGACTATTTTTCCATACTAATTCTCTTTCTCTGCGACTCGGTAATCATATTTTTGCTGAGTCACATGAAATAAAAATCCAGCATTAGTTATGTTATGGACTGGGACTGTTGAGCAATTCAGATTTTTAATAACATCTGACACATACTGCATTTTGTTTCAGTCTCACTGACATGTTTAAGTGTCACTCAGAGTCTTGCTGACATGTTTAACCACTAATCTCACTTTGTTTGATTATATTTTGATTATGACATTTATGGGTGTGAAAACATATGTATTTAATGTGCTACTATCTGCCATCTTCAATTTTATATATATATATAGTTGAGCTTTAAGGGACACCAAATACACCAACAATTTCCTTAGCTGGACTATGCATTGTATCAATATCCATGCAAACCCACTGGATAGTGCCAAGGAAATTCATTTACTTGCACGATCAATTTAAGCTGCACAGCCCTGCACTGTGTGGTGGAGGATTTAATGTAACACAGTCAGTTATGTCTAAAGTCAGCGTAACAGATGCAACCAAAAATATATGCATTGGGCCTTGCAGAATAAATGAAGCGATTGTTTCACCTGATACCCAGGTACTGTACACAAACTGTTGCTCTTTCTCTCTGTCAGATGTGTATAAATATTTAAAAGTCAGTGTTCTGTAGAGTGTTCTGTTGCACACTTTTGTCTTGTTTTAAAAGGTTTTTTTTGTAACCACAGAGCTCTTGGACCATAAAGATATGCTTGGTACAGTATTTCCCATACACCACATTCTAATGAGAAGTTTTGCAATACATCTAAAAATCTTAAACAAACCGCCTTAATAGATGGGAATTGCTTTTACTGAAACTGAATGTTTAGCAAAAGCTACAACTGAGTGCAAGTTAAAATAAATCACGAGTCTAATCACATGTTACATTATTGTAGAATAGTACATTGCTTGTGGATTATATTTTCCTTTAAAAAGAGGATACCTGACTGGCTGCTTGATATATATAATGACAAATCAATCAGTGACAATGCAGAGACAATGCTGGACTACTGAAACCAGCTTAATCAGGAACATCAAACAAACGTTAATCTTATTTTATATTTTCCCTCTGACAGTGTTCTCACAGTTCGTGACATTAATCTCACATTATTATTTTTTTCTGCAAAGAAGGTAGAAGTGATAAATATGAAAAAAATAAAAATAATTGTCACATTTGCGCGTTGAAAAAGAATATTCACATTATTTTTTATACTCTAGAGAAAAATACATTTTAAAATCAGCCTAGAAGGTTCATGGGTAGTACCATAATTAAACTGCATTTACATTAATTATTAAAACAGTAAGTCACAGTACATCTTCCTGTCCTAAAGAGGCTGCTTCTTTCAAAATGAATGTCACACTAAATATTGATTGAATATTGAAATACCGATTGTACAAAGATGTAAAGCAATGTTAAAAAGTAGAAATAAACTTATTTTTAAAAAAAATATTAAATGTCAGTACATATCACTCACTATAACAGAGGCAAGAAAAAAATACAAGTTTATCTTCTGTTGGTGCTGTGTGTACTAAAAACAGCCATGCATTCAATAAAATCTAATAAACCACCCTATGTACTAAGTTCACTAGTAAGTAAGTTCACTACAATTTGGCTCCATAATCAGACCACAACTCTTCTGTCCAAAAACACCCCAGAATGGTGTGGTGAGGTAAAACAGTTTTTGAGTAATGATACACCTACTGAGATGGATTTGTTTGCAATAAAATAGTTTCTGCACAGGATGGGGAAATTACATTTCTTGCAAATGAGGACAATTGTTTTGGAGCTCTCTTCATTATACAGAACATTTAACAGATAATGGTGTTTCCCACAAAGCAGGTCTGTTAGTTTTCCATATGTATGAAATTAAGAAAGGCACAGTGGTTTTACAATATAGCCACGAGAAACCATCTATAAATGCAAATATGAACCAGTTTTACTGATCTCTACCACGCTGAAAAGACCAGAATAGGAGAACACCTGAATATATCATATTTTGGATACTGGTATCTTCACCAGCCTTCTTAACTAGCTTATTTAACAGGGCTTTCTTGGTCAAAAGCTTTATCACTAGACTAGACCAGCATAAGTCAATCTGGACCAGCATGAAAATGTATTCTAGTCTCAGCTGGTCTTTTCAGCAGTGTACAGTTTTCAATATTTATTTTCTAACTTTGCAAATAGATAGTCCTCTTTTTTTTAGACCCTTTAAAGTTTTAGTTTCCATACATTTTCAGGTCTGAAGGGGGAAGTCGTGGCCTAATGGTTAGAGAGTCGGACTCATAACCCAAAGGTTGTGGGTTGGTAAATGAAATGGACAGAAGTATCAAGATGGTGTGGCATCTTTATATGACAATAGCCCTGAGGAGACGGAAACACATCATCAGCTCTCGTGGAATAGGGGGTTTGATCTCATTACCATCAAGGCGAAGGTAATGGAGACGTGGACCCTTCTCATCAAGATAATCATCGAGCGCACCAGGTGGACAGATGTCAGAGCTATTCACACCTATGGAAATTACAGAAAAAATACACATCTTACTGATAAAGTCACAGACATGCAGACATAAAACAATTAGGGTGCATCCAAAGTCTAAAGTATACTTCGGCTGTTCCGTGCACACGCCATAATTTTTGTAATCAGGAGGATCTGCAGACAGCTGTGCACACTGTCTGGACATGGACATGAAAATGAAGTATACCTGGGCCTTGGGGAGGCTTCCTTGCTTCCGGTCAGCCAATAACTTAACAAGTGGTGTTTTGATTATGAAGGAACTTCTTAAGGAAACTAGTTTCAGACAGGTTTCCAAAGGCACCGTAAAGTCTTTAGAGCTTTAGAGATAATCAAGCAAGTATTGACTTCATTGCTTATTTAATGGCAGAAATTCATATGCTTTGGATACAACCATAGTGTGACCTTTGTCCAGAAAAGAGCAACAGTATGAACGGAGATACTTTTGAGACCTGTTTACCAAATGATTTTGCAAAAAATACAAAGGAAGTCAACATGTACAACATACAACAGGGCATGTTCAGAACTTTGGTTGTGGACTTACTCTTGATCTTATTGTGATCCAAATGCAGGTGCTCCAAGCCAGAAGAGATAACGGGTATCTCTGTGAGCTGGTTATGAGAAAGCTGTAGATCCAGGATGCTGGAAAGATTAAACACATTTTTTGGGATACCTCCATTAGCCAGCTTATTGCGGTTCAGCCTGAGAGACACCACTTTGGGAAGACCCTTGAAGTACTCAGCCAGAATCTTTTCAATATTGTTGCTGTCCAAAAAGATCTGTGTGGTTGTGGGTGGTAGGCCAAGGGGCATGGTATTTAGCTGATTCTTTGCTAAATTGATCTGGATCAAGTTGTTGAGGCCTTTCAGACTGACCTCAGTAACTGCATCATCCTGTAGCTTGTTGCCTTGCAGATCCAGCAAGGTGAGACGGTCCATCCCAGAGAAGACACCGGGTGGGATTCTTGAGATTCTGTTTCGGGAGAGCCGTAACTGCTCTAATTTAGCAGGCAGAGGAGATGGAATGGAAGTCAGCAAATTGTCTTCCATGTAAAGGTGTACAAGGTTGGATATAGCCTTTATAGCATCTGCCTCCAGGCCTTCACTTGTGATTTTGTTGCGGTTAAGGTTGATCCACCTTAGTTGTGTGGCATTGCGCAGAGCGTCAGCCGACAGGACATCAATCAGGTTGTTCTGGAGGTACAGGTACCAGGTGTAGGGTGGGATGTCAGGTATGCGTTTCAGACCCTTGTTGTCACAGTAAACAGCGTTTGGGAAACTTGGAGGGCAGTGGCACTCTTTAGGACATGCCTGTATCTGAGAGATAAGGTGTTCATATGTGATTTCTTCAGAGCGGATTTGGCTGGCCAAAAGTAGGGCCACAAATGCAACCATGAGCCACTCCATGGTTAGGATTAACCTGACAAAATGATAGAGACAGAGAAGAAGAAACAAACAAACAAAAGCTGTTAACAATATTGAAACCATTTAACAATAAAATTAGAGAATTAATTTTGGTTCCAAACAAGCCTGTCACGCAAGTTCACTGGGCTCGTTACAAAAACTTATGGGCTTCTCCCTTCAGTAAGTTGGCCCCCCTTGTCGCAGGGCCTGGAACAATGTTTGTCCCCCATACTAAGAATAGCCATAGGTCCACCCTACATTACCCCAGGTTCTCTCTAAGTGGATAAACTCATTGACAAAAAATGAGGAACATCCTCTAGTTAAGATTATCATTCCCTGTGTCTTCATCTTCTAAGTAGCAATCCTCTTAAACTCAGAATATGCTGCCAGGTCAACCTTGATTGGCTTAAGCCTGGCATAGTGCTACTCATCTCCATTCAGAAGACAGTCACAAAGAAGACAGTCTCTGGCAAACATAAGGGTTCAGGTATGTCCTATTTCTGAATACACAAGGTATACCAAACATGGCATGGTTTTTAACAAAACCTGGCCCTCATGTTGCAATATGAAAACCTACATACTAGGCATCCATTGACTGATTTCAGAGAGGCTGATTCGGTTTGTTTTTTTCCCCATTTCAAATAGACTTAGCTCTTTCCACACCTTCAAAACACATCTTTACACATTCCTATCTGTCAAATGCAAGTTTGAGCTTTGTCAAGTGTGTATGCAAGAAATAATATGTTAACATATTCATAGCTGAGCTTTCTCTCTCATCTGGTTCAAATTTTTGGTCCTGAGCTGAGCTCCAAGTGACTGTCGGGAGATAATTTTCTACGAGCAGCACTCTCACACTAAACCAGAGGGAAGCCCTGAATACACAGTGATCAGACCAGCTTCACCTGTAAAGGTCTTTCAAAGCAAGAAAAAACTTTTTAAATCATGACCTCCATACTGGCTTTGCAGAGCCAGTTCTGTGGACAACTGCATCAAAAAACAGTTGAAAACTTTAGTGCCATAAATGAAATCTCATCACTGTGCACTTCTGTGTTAAATCCAAGATAAAATAAAGCCATGAAGATTAAAACAGAAAAAAGTGACTCATAGCTCACAGTATGCAGTTCTGGAGGGCAAAGGCTTTCTATTGGTATGGAAGAAGTGGACACTGTCTTTGCCAAGATATTTTAACTGTACATTACCATTGCAAATTTTTAAATGCTAGAATCTTACCTTTGTCTTCTTGGGGCTCTTCTACTGTATCTCTTGCTGTGGGTACAGATGCCTCAACTCTGAGCTACTTTGCCCTCTCCTGCCCCTATTTGTAGTGTCAATGGCATCCCATGATTCCTTCACAGATGGACAAAACCTTAGCCAATCATAGCTTGTCGAGATCAAGAGTCATAATCCTGTGAGGATGGACAGTGCTTAAACCAGCGTGTTGGTCAAAAGAAGACATGGGCCTTGGCCCAGTTATAATTAGGCTAATACAGGCCTATATGAGTCTTCATCCTTTTCTTCATCGCCCCTCAAAACAACACCTATCTCCTGTCTTTCGAGTAAACAAATGTCTCGATCAGACCACTGAGTTGATGAATCTGAGTCTATCTATCTATCTATCTATCTATCTTTGCACATCCTTGTTAAGGACTCCCAGTTTGACTGGTAAATGCTTTATTTTTGGAGATACTTGCAGTTGCAAAATGAGTAATGAGAAAAGTCTGCACATTTGTTATGTAATGTGCACAATCGCCAAAATGTGTGTGCTGAAATTTCTGTCCCCACGGGAGCACTAGTTTGGATTTAGAGGCTGATTTGTAGTTGGCATAGGTAGCCACATATGGTGTCATTGTTTGACTGCCAAGCAATGATCTTGTTGTGTCATTACTTGCTCTCAATTCCGCTGACGATAACAACTACTTACTCTGTCTTTGTAATAACCTGCAATGGGCTCCTCCAGTCGAAATCTACGGCCATTAGTAATCCAGTCTATTATCCAGCATCTCGTGTCAAGGATGGTGTTGCTCTACGTTAGAACCAGTGGTCTAAAGGGCAAAGAGTACACACACCAACCTAATCCAATTACAGAATTCAAAACCTATTATTCACAGGAACCTAAAAGAGCTCTAAACACTGAATACATCTGTGTCGAGGTCTACAACACTAAATCGGCAACTAAGAGCATTAGGCTGTGAAATACAGGACATGACGAGGTGATTCTCAGTGCAGGTTTAAGCCTATTAAAATACTCTGTATCTTGGATATCTGTTTATTCCAATGATGGCATCAATACACTCAGACAAACTGTGCAATATTTATATCCATCGAATACATCATGCCAACAGGGAAAATATCAAAGACTTGCTACTCTATAAATCTCTGAGACCAAGATCACACTACAAGACTAAACCTTATCCCCATATTGTGTTTACAACTAGTCTGCGACAAAAATCCCAGATCATAGCAGGTGCCAGCTTTTCTAATGTCCACACCTGTGAGACTAGACATGGCTTACAGATGTCAGACTGGATTTCTAGTCACCCAGTCTTCAGGTAGATGGACTGTCCTAACTTGCATAAGAGCATCAAGTCAGGGATTAAATAATCACATTGATTGCGTATGATTAGAACAGTCCAAACTGCTCAGTGATAAGTGCTAATGCTAACTGTTAAATATTTGAGGGTATCTTCAAGACGCCTTACAAGGCACCTAAACTTTTTGAACTCTGAGACTGGTAAACAATATTTGATATATATGTTCTTTGCGGTTAATTAATATCTTTAATAATAAACTATTTAATTTACCAGCATCTTTGAAGGGAGATTAACAGAAGTTGATCATTAAAATGAACTGGAACATGGATAAAATCCATGACTGAGAAAAAAAAACTATGACTGAGAAATGACAGCATAGTCAAGACAACTGCTGAACATTTATGCTTCAACTAAAAGAAAACACATGCTCTCAAAGAGATTTAATTTCCTGTTTGGGGCAGTTATGTTAATTACACACGGTTCCACATTTGGCTCTAGCTCTGTGGCTAGTGTGCCGTCCAAATGTCCACTGTCCAATTTCACATCTTTATGCTTCTAAGAAACTTGATTTGAAATTTTCAGTATTGTCTAATTGTTTTAGCCAACATAAAAAAACTGCATAAGTACTATATTCAGTAGAATTTATATTTAGAACATCAGTTAATGCTAGCTTTACAAAAAGATAAACTAATTAAAGTTGAAATAATTAATTGCACATATTATAACACCCCTCCTCCACTGCTTACACAAGCAAAATCTAAGACTTTCCTTTAAAAACAAACTGTCCTGGTACCATGGTACAGGTGTAATATGATCATACCATAGTATTTTAATCTATACCATGGTATTTCAAAAATACCATGTGCTATCATGCTATCATGGTGCTATCATGGTAAATGTCTAACACTATGTTACTTTTTTGCCACTTTTGTGTTGTATCACTGTAATCACTTTTGTGTTGAATTTCAATGTAAGTAACTAGATGCCAGAACATACATAATACATATGCATTTCAAGTTCATGATCCTGTAGCTGGCTATTACGTTTCAATAATGTTTTTCCCCCAATTACAATTAAAATCCGAAATTCATTATCTTATACGAAGACATGCAGCAGAAGTACATAAAAAATGTTTGAAAGTGTAAGGAAAATATAAGGAAGTGGTGTTTAAAATATCTCAATACTCAACTACAGAAAAACCATGAACCCCCTACACCCACCACCTCCCTATTGCGTCACCACCACATAAAGTACCAAAAAAACAAAACAAAAAAAACAACAACATGAAAACATTACCTGCTCATCTCAGTCATAGAGCTGATTTTGGTTTGTGCAGGTGGAGGCAAAGTGTCTGGTTCTACTTTTGGGGTTGCAGTCAATCTCTTTCCCGCGTGCTCTCCTCTCCAGTTTGAGTCCAGTCTGCAGTTTCTCCAACTTTCTTTCTGGCCCAGACATGCATCAGAAGACACAGCCTTATTAGATTACTATTGTTAGTGATGTTACTTCCCCAAGGCCAAACCTTTGACATCAGCTGGTGAGCATGAATAAGGGTGTGTGTAAAAGTTTGAAAGATATGCGTGCATTTGTCTTTCCACAAACATGCACTGGTTACTTATTGCTAGCACAGCACTTTTTTCTCTTTTCTTACTCTTTTCTTTGTGCAGTGTGGGTCTGTGGAGCCTTGGGAGGTGGGGGCTCCTGTCAAAAATGACACCCTCCAAACAGTTGTAGGTGGCTTTGAGACATTTAACCTTTATTTTCAATGGACACAACTTTGAGGGATCTTTTACACCCCATTAAACTAGGCCGCCCTGTGACAATGCACTTCATCTGGCTGTCATTTTGCACTTATGGAGACTTGTGAAAAGTAGAATTAAGCTAGAATGCAAAAACTGTTGAAAGGTACAGTGATATTAGAGAGTTAATCCTGCACTCTTACCATATCCCAGCAGGTTTCTCTCTCTCTACGAGTTGCGCATAGCTTCCCAATGAATGAAAAGGCAGTGAATAGTAACCAGGCGACATCTGTTTCAACATCTGGATCCTGTTGTAGAAATTTCAAGATGGAGAAGAGGAAAGTGGGATATAGAAGGTCTTTGATTTGGGTAGGACACTGATTAAAGCCCACTGCACAATTGAAAAAGAGCAAATCTCTGTCCTGTTGAAAGGATTCTACTGTCTGGAATAAAAGTAGATTCATGATTTCTGTTCTTAAGTATTTGGAACTATCAAATCTCACACAATCTCACTTGTACAAAGCACACAGGCCCTGTCAGATCTCCAGATGTTTAGCCATGCCCAAAGAGGTCCACAAAAGAAGTGTTTACGCTGACATTGTCTTATCTAATTCATGAACTAATCATTCATGAACCGGTTCACAAAACCAGTCTGGTGTGCATTTCCCAAAAGCCAATATGGTCACAAGTTCCGTCATTACCAATAGAGTTCCAATGGAACTTGCGGCCATTGATAGCTAATGATGCTTTTGGTAAACGCACCCCTGAATGATTCAGTGACAAACTGGATTGATCAGGGTCTGGATCTCATGACGTAAAATAACCTCCAAAACATTTCTCACTTCTTTACTTTACACTTTATACTTTACAGATAGTATGCAACTTCCAACATTCTTGTGTAGTCACGATTAACATAGAAGAAGAAAAAATTATGACAGAACTTTGGTTCTACCAATTGGTTGTTGATTGGAGTTGCAGATCTATTGAGTGGCAGATCTGAATGAGTGCTTGCAGTCGATTGTAAAAAAATATGTGGGGTTTTAGCAGACTAAAAGATTGGAGAATTCTGAGAAAAGTTTGTCATTTCACTCAAACATGACAAATTATGACATTTTAAATAAAAAACGGTTACATGGATGAATTGTTCACATTGAGAACATTAAGATGAATTTAGATAGGGTGAACTTCCATTTCATGTAGACTTCAAAGACAAATTCCCAACTCTCTGTGCAGAGCCACGCAAATCAAGTTTATAATGCTCTGACAACAATATCACATATATCAAATAAACTGATTTTATCGCCTCAGGGGACCTTTGCAAGCCTCTTTTGTGTTTTCACATAGCATAACAGTGCAGCACAACAGTCATTATTCTAAACAACAACTGGAAACTCTTTCAAGAGATCAGCTGTAGGAGGATGAGCTAAAAAACATCACAATGGTCTCTTTTCCTTAACAAGTCTCTCCAGTGTCTAGCAGACACTGAGTAACAGACTGTGGTTTTCTAGCAAGACCTCAATTGCACACAAAACATATGACATGGCAATATGAAATTTTCATCGTTTTTGCAGTGGCACAGCAACATTACAGTATCCTAGCAATGCACTTTAGTTAGGTTATGAAATTATTCACTTGGAAATGAAGATTTCATCATGTTGTTTTTCAAATGACCCTCTTACTTCCATGAAACACAAAACAAATCAATGGAAACTCACCATGTTTTTTTTTTTTTTTACCTTGTGACTTGGTGGAAAATGGTGGACTTCTCTAACTCTGCCCCTTCTTTAAAATCGACTGCAAGTATTCAGATCTGCCTTTATCCAATCAACAATCGATGGATTTTACCAAGACCTTCAACAATCTGTTGCTACTTCTGTTACATCATGACTTTAACAGGATTGTCACACTGTTTTCATCCATACAGTGAATTGGAGGGACCAGGGTCTGCCAAGGTCCAGAAAGGACAAAAAAGCTCAACAAAAGAATTACAAGAGTAGCTAATGCAACGCATAAGCACTGATTTTTCATACTATGTTATACTGTAAATGAGCTACTTTTGTGCTCCACGGAATAAACTCATATGGGCTTTGAAGAGACAGAACATCAACATCTAGAACAATAAAAGTGATCAAATGTTTGTGTGTGTGTGTGTGTGTGTGTGTGTGTGTTTGGTCCTGCAAATCAGCTTGTGGTGAACTTAAATGCTCAGGCTGCTATAAAGTGGTAAAGATATTTCAAACGAAAAGCCAGAACTGCCTATCCATCATCTGTTTCTAACACATGGACAAAATAATTCCCACAGTGTCTCTCTGTATAACTATCACATGGTCACCCCAGACCCTCCATTCCTCTGGAATGCTGGGTTGTCTGCCTGCAACACTACTGTTTTCAAATAAAACACTAATTTTTAGTGCTAGCTCAGACTTGTGCAGAAAGATCTGTAGTTATGTTAAATGCAACTTTTGAAGTGCCCGTCATGAAGGTGTGATCTGGGATAGAGATGGGAGCAGATGGTTGGAGGAGGTAAAGGGAAAAAATGTACCAACTGTTGGGCTATTTTATGATTGTATTTTATGAAGCTATGTCCTGAGCTGAGGAAGGGAATGAATGTTTACAGCTACCTCAAATACTGGCCCAGCGTCTGAATATATGTGAATATATGAATATGTGAACATCCCAGCTACACGCTATGCAAAAGCAGTATGCCAAATGGGAAGGATGTCAGACTGCTTAGTATTCAGGATACAGTTAATCAAACCCGGATGACCTTCTGTATCCGCCAACCTACTGAGCTTCTGAAATGTGCAGCCAGTGGACACTTTGCTGTCACACAAGGCCAAAAGTTGAATTAAAAATGGAGTAGCACTGCAAAATGAGCGGCTCTTTTTAAGTTTAAGTGTTATAACTACCAAGAAATTTCCAATTGTTCTGCAGGGCTGAACTGTACTTGTTTAACACTTAAGTAAATCTTTTTGTGCTTTTTGCTAGTAGGGCTACATCACATGACAAGTACATATGGTCAGAGGACAATGTCAACATGGCAGATGTAGTTGGCCATGTAGCATTTATTCTACAAACCTGCATACTCCATCTAGTTTGTCATCAAATTCAGTACATAGTCTGAGAGTTTGTAAATTTGATCGCAGACTGGGATTTATTGTTAAAGTTTCTTCAATAATCCTTACTATAGCTCTTAACATTGCTTTGATATGTTCTTACCTTTGACAGTGATATTAAGTTAAATAACACCCTATACAAGCTCTTCCATACAAAAGCCTTTTCATCTTACAATCACTATATTTAAATCCATAGTCTGTACTTCAGCTAGAGACATCAAGAAAACAGGTTTCCTACAGGAAGCAGTTCTGTCATCATGGCTCTGCTTCAAATAGGGCAAAACTCATAGAATTTTGTCCATCCATGAGTTTGGCTGAAAGGCCAGAAAGGAGGAATATGGAGAACAGATTCATTCCAGAAGTTTCTTTTCATCCCAAACAGCAGAACTCAGAAATGGAAATCCACATGAGTCAAGCTGGAAGATCAACAACCAAGACGAAAATAATAAAACATGGAGTAGCTCGCCTGTCTGTAAAGGGAGCCATTTTTTACTGTCAGTGTAGTCAAGATTGATGACCTTATGTTTATGAATCATAAGATCGTAAAGACTTTACGACTTCTAATATCTACTGAAGATTTCCTGCGACGATGCTTCGTAGAATTTCCATGATAAAATAGAGAGGCAATTATTAATATTTAACAGATTATTTTGGCTAAATGTATTATATTATTTGAATAATGTGTATAATGTTGATATATTAATTTCTACATGTGACCTCATTATTAGGACTGATGCCATCAGTATCCCTCCACACATGTAAGAAATCTGGTTTATTAAAATAAAGTCGAACAAACTGCTTTGGTATTTTTAAAAAACAAAATAAAACAACAAATCAGGGAAATTACAACTTTTACAACAAGTCTGCCGAAGTTACTGTAATCTTGTGGTTCAATGATTTGACTAACATTGTGATGATGTGAAATGGTGTATTGAATACATCAAAAAAATTAAATGTTGTTTACCATAGAATTGAAAACAATTGTTGTTACAAAATTAGATGAACTGCATGCAGATAAAATATGGTATAAATGTTGGCAGAGTTCAGAAATTCAAGCTGATACCAATTTCCTTCAACATTGCAGCACATTTAGCAATTTTATATACAATTAGATGGTTATTATCCATAAATTGTACTCTAAACAATATAATTTCCTTACCGGCAGGCTCATTAGTAACATGATTACAATTTTGAATGATTAAGGTATTTAACATGCGGAAATATTAAAATAGATGACATATAGTGCAACTTTTTATGGAGTGCACACTGGGCTATTCACAATTTGCACAAATATGTCTTTCTTTAGATGGGAATATCTTGTCTAATTCGACTACTACTCTTCATACAGTACCATACAAGACTGATATTTTATGTGCCAGATTTTCAAGATCCCAGACTACTGCTGCCCATTTTTCATACAGATGTGTTCATCAACATTTTAGAGAGAAAATATTGTCGTCAACGTGCATGTAAACAGATGTGGTTGCCAGAATCATGAATAAAGACGTGCAGATGTCAATCAGAGTGTCTAATAGGAGCAATAGCCTTAATGTGTTTGATAAACTACTGGCGAGATGTGACTTTAATCAAAGATGATCTCTGAGGCCTGGCGTAGGCAGTTAGCTGTGTCATCTGGCATACTGCTGTGTTTGATGTTGTTTCCATCCAAGCGTAGGGTCCTCAGTTGAGAGTAGTTGACCGGGGAGCTGAACTTGCAGATATTTGTCAGGTCAAACTCTAAAGAAGCTATTAATACAACATTTTGGCACTGAAATTCCACAGTTAAATAATAATAAACAAAAAGCCTTTAGATTTACTTAGCAGTTAGCTAAACCTCAGCAAATTCACTTTATATATATATATATATATATATATATATATACATATATATATGAGCTGAACTTGCAGATATTTGTCAGGTCAAACTCTAAAGAAACAGAAGTCGAAATGGAGTAAAAACCATGCTAAATCTGTAGCGTAAACAGATGGAATCGGAGTAAGACTTACTGTTTATCTCGTTGACTTGCAGGTACAGATGCTCAAGTGATTCGTTGATCTCCGGGATGCTCTTCAGCTTGTTAAAAGACAGGTCGAGCTCAAGGAGAGAAGACACGTTGAACACACCTGCAGGGATTCCAGAGTCCACCAGCTTGTTGTGAGAGACACGCAGGTACTGCAGGGCCGGCAGCTTGGCCAGGTAGCCATTAGGAATGCTGTCTATTTCGTTATTGTCGGCGTAGAGCATCAAAAGCGAAGGTGGAACTCCCGAGGGAAGTTTCTTGAGCTTGTTCTCGCTCACGTCCAGCAGAACGAGGGACTTCAGGCTTTTGAAGGCACCTGTGATGCTCTCGGTGGTCAACTTGTTCTTGGACAGGTGGAGGGTGGTCAGGTTTTCCATCCCAGACAAGGTGCTAGCAGGGAACGAGCTCAGCTGGTTGCTGATCAACTTCAACTCATCCAGAGACTTCGAAAGAGGACCAGGGGGTTTGGTCAGCTTATTATAACTGAAGAGGAGCTTCTCCAGTTTGCTCAGTTTATCAATGGTACCGGCTTGTATCTTGTCGCTGGCGATGTTGTTGTTGTCGAGAACGAGCCAGCGAAGGTCGGTGGCGTTATCGAACACGCCAGCCTTGATCTCCTCAATATGGTTGTTCTGTAGGTAGAGGTATTTGATGCCACTCGGCACGATAGGGATGAACTTCAAGTTGCGCTCGTTGCAGTACATGGCTGTGGGGAAGGTGTGGGGACATTCGCACTCCTGGGCACAAGTGGGAGATGATAGTACCTCCAATGGTGCGGAGGGGACGTAGTGTTCGTCATAGTAATCGTATTGACCCAAACTCTGACATAGCAGTTCAGCCAACAGGAAGAAGCTAAGAGCAAACATGACTGTACAACTTAGTCCAATCGAACCTGGAGAAGAGAAGAGAAGAGAAGAGAAGAGAAGAGCGGTTTACATGGTTACATAAGAGGCAATATTAAAATGTGGGAAAAAAATGTTTAAGAATAACAGAACTTTCTATGGTGAACCTCAGACATAAACAAAACCCAGAGACATTCTTCTAATGGAAACTGATGACTTCATCCTCAAGAATGCAAATAGGCCCATTCCTCACTTTGTAAATTAGACCCACATTACTTATGTGCAGACCAAGTTCATCTCAAGTTACATTAACCTTACCTCATTCCTATATCTCACTTTGTCTTTGCATGCTATGCCGAAGAATTATTGAATGGCAATGATAGAACTTGAGAAGAATAATGCAAGAGTACTTTTATAATATTGACTAATCAATTAATGTTTCATGAAAGTTAAAAGAAAAGAAGAATAAATTAGTTCAGGTGTCATGCATGGAATTTTGCAACTGTACTTGTGTATAACAATTCATGTAAAATGCCAAATTAAATCCAGTACTGCATAATCTCTCTCTGTTCATGCACAATTAAAAAATTAATGCATGCATAATTCTATCAGCTCATGCATTTTCAATAATTAATAAATTATTTAAAATATATATATATTTATAACAACTTAACACCGTGTTTTGAATGAAATGCGTGCATGGAAGCTTCTCAAACATTACCAAGCTGAATATCTGCAATATGATCATACTTTTTCTTCAGTACACCCCAAAAATCTGCCAAGCAGATTTCTGATAATCTCATCCAGACAGAACAAAAGTGAGCATGAGCTTTCTACTCATAACCGCAGATTCTAGATATCCTTACCTTCCTGCTTCTCTCTCTGTGCACGACTTCAGGTAGAGTTGTGTGCGGCCCGAGGACTCTGGAGAGAAAGAGTAAGGGAGGGAGAAAGCAGAGAATGAGAGAGTAAGTGAGAAAAGAGAGGGAGAGAGAGAGAGACACTCAAGCCAAACCTTAGTCGCCCAAGATTGATAGAAAACAGCAGTTAGGCTGTTCTAGTGTGTAGATGTCAGCAGTTGTTCACTGAGAAACATATGGATTCTATCAAGGTTCAGGTGTAGCAAAGCAGTTTGGTACATGTAGTTCTTCAGGGAACACAGAAAGGAATAAAGACTAACTGGGGAGGGTTTGCAAAATATATATACCTGTATAGTCACCACACACACGCACATTTTTCCATCCCATCCTTTCCAAACAATCCCTCAAAATAATTCAACAATTGTGTGTGAGACACAAATAAGCCTACAAACACCTCCACTGTCGGCTCCATCATAGCCAATGCTATAAGCATTTCTCATTTTAAAAAAATGTTCTTAACAAAACAAAGGTTAATGAAACTATTTGGAAAATCATCTATACAAAAAATAAATAAATAAATAAAAAATTGGCTACTTGCGATGGCAGCTGCCTGCTATTAGACTACTGGGCTGTAAAAAAGACTTGGAAAAACTGACCAAATAAGAGGGTAGTGGGCCAAACCAGACTTACATAACCGTGTTGTCTATCTGAACAGAGAGTGTATCCAATTCTTAACAGCTGGTAGATTGTATATCATCAAACAGTGTGCCATCTTTTAATCTTAAGCCTCATAAAATCCAGACGGCTTCTGTCTGGCTGTGGTCATAGGTTTGTGTGATGGGAAGCTCGCACACGGTGGTGGGCTGTATGTCATGAGGGACCTAGGAAAGATGGTGCTGATTGCAGGTCAGTTTAGTTTTAATAGCACACATTGGCTCTTAGGAATGCAGTAAAGCCAGAAAAGCAGATGAGAGGTCGGTTCTGTAAACGTCATGCGTATCAGAGGAGCTGAGATTATGTATTGTCTTGGATTACTACTGCAAACTCAAAAAAGAATATGAAGATAAAATCTGCACACCAAATGTAAAAAATAAATAAAACAAAATAATTCATATAAAATAATTAAAACAGAATATAAAATAGTGAAATAAATCACAATAACAACAAGATTGTAAACTGATGTATATGGTCATCATTTACATTTAAAAAAAAATATTTTAAGATTTTATTTACTTATTATATTTTATTATTATACTTAGTAAATGACGATAAGATATTAGGGTTACTGAGTGCGTTGATTCAAAACAAAGTTTACATTAAATTCAATTAAAATAAATTTTAAAAATCATGTACGTAAGGTCAGTGTAATGTGGTGTTTGGGTTTTGTCTTGTTCATGTTTCCATGTCTTTTATTTTGTAATTGTTTTATGCTGTTTGTGTCATGCTTCCCTTGCCCTCATGTATCTCAGCCTTGTGTATGTGTCATGTTCTGATTGGTTGTCCAAGTCATGTGTCTTGTTTCCCATTGGTTTGTTCTTGTCATGTGACCTTCTTGTTTCCTATAAGTAGCCATCATGTTGCCATTGTCTGTCGTCGTGTATTGAATGTATTTATCCCGCTGTTGGTGAGTCTAGTCTGTTCAGTTATCATCATTTAAATATCAGGTTCACTGAGAGTGTTGATTCAAAACAAAGCATAAATAAAATAAAATAATAAATATAAATAAATAAATCATGTTGGGTCAATGATCATCATTTTACTTAAAAGATGTCAGGCCAGCATGTTAGTCAGGCTAATTACAGTGCTGATTTAAAACGAAGTATAAATAAAAGAAAACTAAATAAAAATTTTAAAAAATCATTAAGAAATAAAAAATTTAATTATTAGGAAATAAAATCATTCCAAAAATTAAATAATAATAAATTTAAACAAATAAATCATTTAAACATATCATCATGTTGCTAAAAAAATGTCCCAACAGATTCAAGAGACTAAGAGTCAGATTCAAACACTAGTTATATACTTGTGCACCACGGCGTGTTATAGCGCTATGTGCGCTAACTGCTAGGCCACAGATCTGATGGCGTTGGGTGGTCTTAAATTGTTCTGGATCAATCTGACTGCTGCAGTGCTCATACCTGTCCCATATCAACAGCAGTACAGCACTATGACCTTAACACCCATTCCTCATCTGTCACGTCCCCTGCAGGTCACCCCTCTACTCACTCCACTCATCTGTCAGGCCTGTAGGGCGAGCACATGGTTCTGAGCTCATGTTTGGACTTTATGGATGAAGTTATGCAGCAGGAGCAGGTCAGGGTAAACCTGTGCAGCTGTACCTGATGCAAGTATGTGAGGTTTGCAGTTGCACTCAAACCATGTAAAAATGGTACAGCTGTGGGCTGATTGAAAAAATCAGCTGCAGAAGCACTTTTTTTTTTGGGGGGTATTTCAAACACACCCCTAGACATAGTTATGTGGCAGGTCATTTATTACACTTTACATGCTCACTTAACTGGTGGTAATTAGCTTCGTTTGAAGTACAAAACTCTTATTTTAGTATCATTGAGATACAATTATATCGTTTTTTATTAATATTCTGAATTAGTTTTTATTTGATATTTTCTGTTTTCATTTTAATTTTAGTTAAAGTTTTAGTAATTTTGGTAAAAGTACACTCTAAAAAATGCTGGGTTAAATATAACCCAGCGCTGGGTTAAAAAGGGACAAACCCAGCTATTGGGTTGTTTTGACCCAGCGGTTGGGTTGTTTTGAACCCAACCGCTGGGTCAAAACAACCCATTTTTTTTAGAGTGTATTTATTTTATTTATTTGTTTATTTATTAATTTTGTCTATATAGTTTTTATCAATTTTTATTTCAGGGTTAGATTGAGTTATTTAGTTCATCAAGCTGAAAATGAAACTAACTGAAAATGATAAATGTTGCCTTTTTAGAAAAATATAATATATATATTTAAATATATTTTATTTCAGTTTAAGTTTAGTTTTATTTCGAGTTGTTATGGTTTTAGTTTTAGTTAATAACCCTGCAATACACTTTAAAAATATTGGTTATTTTAAAAGGAAAAGACTGTAAAAATGACAAACCTATTGTAAACCTATTTTACTGTAAAATACAAAAAATAATCCATGTGTTTTGTAAAGCAAAAAGAATGAAAATTGCCTAATCATTTATGGGGACAAGGTAATTTCCAGAACGATCATATTTGTTCGGATTATATTTTTATTATTGAAAGTAACTTTTTTCTTAATTTTATTAATGTACATCTGAGTGTGTTATGTTATACTATAACATACTATAATTAAATGAAATACACAGTTATGCACTGTAAAATATACAGTGACCAACCTATAACATGGTCACTATTTTTATTTATTTATTTATTGAGTACAATTCTGGCAGCTGCAGTTTTGTTGTTGTTGTTGACCATAAATGTATTCATTTGACCATAAAGCCGGTGTCTTCTCAAGCCTGATTATTACCAGCCCAACTTGAGTAATGATGTTATTAAGTATTTTGTAAGAGTATTCTGTTGTCCAGCTGTGTTCTCACTGTCTTTCCTGTCTGGACATTGACACACACGGAAAATGAAAGCCTCAGCATCCTGAAGATCACTGGAAAGATTCTCAACACCAGTTCCATGAAAAGGTCCAGCATTTACCAACTTTGGTGTGTTTACGGAGAGATCTGTCTCCTTGAGGATTTCTGTTGAGTATCATGTCCTCTTTTCATCTCACCTTCATTAGTTTAGTGGGTAAATTCCCTCTGTCTTCAAAACTACGCACAGGAAAGTCCACAACTGCGTCTGTGTCTTGGTTTCTGACAACACCAGACATTTCCAGTCAAGTTTCGTAATTTCCAACCATTTTTCCTGGCCTGGATGTTTTTGAGACAGACAAATTTGTTTGTAGACAAGGATAATACTCTAATCCAACCAAGTAAATTGAAACATGTTTTATGAATATATCAAAAAGCTGATTCTTCTGATCTTGTCAACAGCTGTATAATGTTTCCTCTCCTTATAGCTTAAGCTGCTATTTCTACCTGATCTGACACTTAAAAATGACCTTTACTTGCAAATCCCAATGTTGTCCGGTTGCTTCAGTCATACTAACATTTTTATCCTTGAATAAAATGAGTTTCATCTTGTTTTCAAGCTAAGTCATGATACTCATTTAATTATATTGAGAAATACCTCATATGGTTCCCATTACAATGCATGACTTTGTCAACAATAAACTGATTTAGCCACACACAATTTACATTGGTTTTTAAGAATGCAGAGAGAGCTGACAAACGAAAAATGCTACAAAACTTTTCAGTGTGGCTTAAGTTTACAGTGAAACACAAAGCTGCAAAACAGTGAGCTCACAAACCTTGGTCAACCAGTAAAAGTCAGTCAGCTTCATTAACTTATGAAAAATGATTGGTGTTACTCTATCTTTGAGATGATGCTTAATGAATCATGGCTATCTAACACTTGAGTCACAATCAGCACTTGACCCTAGCTATATTGAATATTCACTATATATTTGTCATGAATTTGCTGGCAAAAACAACATTGTGTATCTAGCTTGTGTATCTAAGACTTTAGAGTTGATACATTCCATCCATTTAAATGAATCAGTTCAAACTATGAATTTCATATAAATCAGCTATGATAGAATTCAGAATCAGTTATTTTTGACTAATCTGATGATTTTGTCTAGTGTGAATGTTAAAAGAGAAAAAAAAAACACTTTAGAGTTGATACATTCCATCAATTTCCATGAATCAGTTCAAACTATGAATTTCACATAAATCAATTCAAAACTCTGAAAAAAGTTATATATATATATATATATATATATATATATAATGTCTGAAAAATGAAAA